GGGGGGTTGGGGAAGGAAATTTGGGGTCAGGAGGAATTTGGGGGGTCAGGAGAAAAGTTGGGATATTTTACGTGATTTGGGGTGGGATTTATTGGGGTGGGACTTGGATTTTTTGGGCGATTCGGGTGATTTTTGGGGCGGGATTTTGGTGCGATTCGGAGCACTTTGGGCTGGATTCTGGGGATTTTGGGGCGGGATTTTTTGTGCGATTCGGGTGATTTTTGGGGCGGGATTTTTCAGAGATTCAGGTGATTTTTGGGGCAGGATTTTTCGGTGATTCGGAGCACTTTGGGCTGGATTCGGGGGATTTTGGGGTGGGATTTTTTGGGCGATTCGGGTGATTTTGGGATGGGATTTTTTGGGCGATTCGGGTGATTTTTGGGGCGGGATGTTTTGGCGATTCGGGGGATTTTGGGGTGGGATTTTTTGGGCGATTCGGGTGATTTTTGGGGTGGATTTGGGGGTTTTTTGGGCAGGATTTTTGTGCGATTCGGGTGATTTTTGGGGTGGGACTTTTTGGCGATTTGGGTGATTTTTGGAGCAGGATTTTTCAGCGATTCGGGGGATTTTTGGAGCGGGATTTTTCAGCGATTCGGGGGATTTTTGGAGCGGGATTTTTCAGCGATTCGGGTGATTTTTGGGGCAGGATTTTTCAGCGATTCGGAGCACTTTGGGCTGGATTCGGGGGATTTTTGGAGCGGGATTTTCATGTGATTCAGGTGATTTTTGGGGCAGGATTTTTCGGCGATTCGGAGCACTTTGGGCTGGATTCGGGGATTTTGGAGCGGGATTTTTGTGCGATTTGGGGATTTTTGGGGCAGGATTTTGGTGCGATTTGGAGCACTTTGGGCTGGATTTGGGGATTTTGGGGCGGGATTTTTTGTGCGATTCGGGTGATTTTTGGAGCGGGATTTTTCAGCGATTTGGGGATTTTTGGGGCGGGATTTTCGTGTGATTCGGGTGATTTTTGGGGCAGGATTTTTCGACGATTCGGAGCACTTTGGGCTGGATTCGGGGGATTTTGGGGTGGGATTTTTTGTGCGATTCGGGTGATTTTTGGGGCAGGATTTTGGTGCGATTCGGGTGATTTTTGGAGCGGGATTTTTCAGCGATTTGGGGATTTTTGGGGCAGGATTTTTCGGCGATTCGGAGCACTTTGGGCTGGATTCGGGGGATTTTGGGGTGGGATTTTTCGGCGATTCGGAGCACTTTGGGCTGGATTCGGG